TATCGCGGCTTTCTATTCTAGGGCTGTGAGTGAAAGAAGAGCCGAAGGACGCAACTCACTGGAATGATTAATTCGAGAGATTCAAGCTGGACATAGGCAAGCAGAGATCTCAGAAGTCTTGATACCAAGAACTGGTAACAAATCAACTTTCCTCAGCTTGCTCTTGAAAGCGCAGATGTTGCTGAACCTCGAGAATTTCAGCCGGAAGCAGCTGAAGCCATCTCGTCCCAGGGAAAAAGGAGAGAGCTAGAGACCTTATTGTACTGGTTTTTCTCTACTTTAGGGCATTACAAAGAGATCTTTGAAGTCATTTTTCTTCGTCTTCTTCTCCATCCTAGCTTTAAGCCCGAGCCGCTGCAGGGTCCACTCTTCTTGTTAACAGTCGCCATCTTCTCCTATCCAGGGCGTCCTCTGCCGTGGCCTTCACTTCAGTGAGGTCTTTCTTGATCACGTCCCTCCACCTTTTCTTCGGGGCTCCTCGTGGTGCTTGCCTTGTGCTTCGAAGTCCAGTGCCTTCCTTATAGGGCCTTCCCATCATGTACCCATACCACCTTAGTCGCTGCTCCTTCAGCTGGATAGGAGCCGTCTGTGTGACCGCTCTGACGTCCTCGTTTCTGACTCTGTCGAGTCGTGTCCAGCCGCAGGCCCATCTCAGCATCCTCATTTCAGCTGAGTGGAGCTGCCTTTCATGGTTCTTGCAGATAGGCCAGCACTCACTGCCGTAGAGCATTGCCGGCCTCACCACCGTCGGTACACCTTGCCTTGAGGGTCCTGGTGCATCGCCAATCGTAGAGAATACCGGTAGACTTCCTTCATCCAAGCCACATTTATCGGCAATAAGTCTGATGCACAACCATTATTTTTGCTTCCGATTTCGACCCACAAAGGTGTGGTGCCAACATTTTACCAGGACTGGTGCACATGGTTGGAAAGCATCTGGGATTTCAAGGTGGAATGCTCGATCAGAAATCCTAGGTAATGAAGGCTAAATTAGGCATGTCAAGATGCCAAGTAACTCAGTAGTGAAGGACAACCCCGTTGAATGCTCTGAATAAGATCCCTCTGAGGTTTTGCGACACAACGGCTGAGGGTGTAATCGTACGAGTTCACCGGATAATGGCGTTCTGGTCGATGTGGTAGTCGCAACTGGTCTCAGCCGATTTCAGATTGACAAACAGGCCCTGTCAACGTTCTTCGGCAAATCTTCTGCTATTATGGCTCTGTAGAGGTGGGACCAGTGAAGGTGGGAAGAGCCAGTGAGAGGAATGATGGCACTGGAGCCCTTGTCACTAGCTGCGTCACTGCGGAGCAGGTTACCTGCTCACGAAGGGAGGGGACTTCTCAGCTAAGCGAGGAGCATGCTTCTGACTCACTCACAGTGAGTGGCTATGGATGACACCTCTTACAGTCATGATCCCTGCAAACGATGGGGCGTGTAATGGCATGTCTTGAAACGAAGCCATCGAGCTCTACCAACTACGAGCCTTTTCTTCACCCTCTTCAGACCTTCACACTCCTGTAATATTAATTTTTTCTGTAGTAATGATTTTTTTCAGTAGTAGAGGATTGGTGAGAGAAGGAGAATTTTATTGCAGGCATACCCAGAGGTTGTTGGGACTCCTAGGTTATGCTGGTGTTAGTCCTCATCTTGCGAACAAAATGTTTGAGCTTCTGTCAGCGTTTTGTGCGTTTTGAGCATTTCAACGATCAGGAATATACGTCAAGACGGCGTTTTGGGGGTCCGCCAACGTTTTCTGCGGTCATTTAATCAGTATATTCTTAGTCTATCAGAGCGCTGGTGGATGTATCAAATGAACACGCTACGCGAAGTATGGGACGCTTCCCATCTTCGAGGATTGCCTTTATCGAACAGATGCAATCATCCAACCTTAGCCTTTCATGACTCAAGCCAAAGTCATAGTCTTTCATGATCCGAACAAAAGTCACAACGGGAGTCTTTCTTATGATTGTGAGTCAAGTTTTGCACTTTTGGACATTATTAGACTGTATATATTCTGAAAACTTGTTTACATCTAACTTTCTGCCATCATGACGTAAACTCACCGGAAGGTTCCATGCTTCATTTTTATTACGAGAATTTATTCCAAAAAGATCGTCGAGCTGAATAAAATCACAGGATTGCTCGAACGCCGCGTGCATTAGCCGTGAATCGCAGCGTCCGTATTGGTCCTCACAGAAACTCCATTAGAAGTCTGGACTATTATTGAGAAGAGAATGCAATGAAAGCATGAGGGTTTTAGAAGTTCAACAATATCCGTGCAATGATGAGCACAACGCATATGGCGATGAAGAACGCGAAGGCGACCAGTGAGGCCCACCACAGCCTCCTTTCCCACGGATGACGACGGAAATTTCGAAGAACCACTACACCCAGCAGGACACCGGCTACGAATCCTCCGATGTGAGAGACGTATGAAACCTGGAAAGATGCGATTTAAGGAGAAGACTGAGGATTGAGAGTGCTGAAGAATCTCACCCTATCGACTTTATCGACGAAATACCGTTGATAGACGGAGACACCTGTATCCGTACCAATCAGAACTGCCAAAACTAAGGCCCGTATCCAATTGAATTCCATCTGAATCAGATAGGAGCTAAAAGCTTTTTCGACGTTAAGAAGGCTTTCTAGGGAAGCGCCATCGCCTCTACTACCATATGAAGTTGCTAGTGACCACCTTGTTGAAAATGGGATTAGGGCACATGAATGGACTCGTGAGGGCCTAGCCAAATATGATGCGGATCCTTATCTCCCGCGTCACGACCTGTCACAAGAACCTCTGGAGGGGGAGGGACTTGGATTGGTCAGGTAGGAGCCCGATCCGCGGAGATTTAACCACCCGGAACCGATCATCATTCCCAAACAAATCCTCAAACAGGGGGGGGGTCGCAGCTAAGTAGTGCTCAATGGAGAGGGTCGTAGTTGGTTAGCTGCGAAGCATCACTACTTACTACGCGGTGAACTAACGGATCCGCTCTCGCCCACATTCTTCCTATTCGGGGAGGAAAAGGTGTTACTGGGCAAAGTTCGGCCCTGTGGTATCCCCTGCCTGCCCCTTACTGCTCAACGAGTTCCGGTCTTCAGCTATATCAACCCTGGTGAAAATACACCACATCAAGACCACCTACCTCTGACCCAGTTCATGATGAGCTCAGCAAGATGAGCGGCAAGAAGGGCATAGACACCTCCAGAGGCACCCGCAAGAAAGACGTGGGGATCAACGGCTGAGACCAGGAGTGAGCCTGAAATTTCGCCATTTATCACCAAGAAACATAAAGAGATGGACATTACTGACAGATAAAACTCCAGCTAAATAAACGACGATTACACGCCATTGATGAACGAGTTCAAGAGGCACGCCAAGGAGTAACTGAGTGAGCACATTGTAAGTGATATGGTAGATTCTGTAATACACACAATTCATGACATTAGTGAAGTCACGGACCTGTCCATTAAGTGACAGTGGGGTGAAACGTCATTAAAAAGTAAGGGATAAAACAAGGGCTAGCAAACAGCGTCAGAACCATTTTTAACAACTTTTTCAGAACATGTGTGTGATATTTGAACCGGTCGCGTATGGCGAGACGCGCTACAAACTAGACAAGCAGTGCCGAGCTTTCTCTGGCAGGAGACACCAATGTCTTGGGTGCTTGTCGAGTACGTAGCCCCTCGCTCGCTCCTAAAGTGGCTTGTAACGATTCTCTTCCAATCAAAAAAAAAACGTGTAAAAATGGAACTCGATAAACGGAATGAACCTTGAGTTTGGTGACCGGAGCCACTTTGGAGGTGTGAGAAGTACCGCAACGCGTCAAGAGCCGCAGCGCCCTTTCTGGTCCTTTGATTTGATCAGGAAAGCAGTACTAGTAGAGATGAAAAAAAATGCAGGGCTTTGCCCCGACATGTTATGTTAGGCTCATCGGCACTGAAAGCCTAACGAAGGATTCTATATCAAGCAAAAGCAGAACGCGTGCGTATCCACAGGGAAGAAGAATGTAACTATGAAAGACCCAAAATAGAGGGGGGGGGGGGGGAGCGATGGTCTGTATAGTAATTTGAGGCAGTGCTGAAATAGAACATATCTGATACAGGAAATGAGAATTTCCATGGGTTCACTCAAAGGATGTGATGGACCACTAAAAATGAAGGTCTATAAGCAAAAGAGAGGCCAGCAAGGAAACGTTCGCGAAGCCAAAGTTGTACAGGACTGGCTCAAACAGAGGTTCCCAAGATTGATCATACTCGATGTATAGCCTCCATTCATTGGAAATTCTCCGCCGACATCAGATTCCTGGAGGCAAGCACTGCAGAAGGCGAAGCGATGCGCTAAACTCGTTATCTCTCCCGCTCTAGGTCTAACGCGCTCATGCGCTACTTCTGCGAGTGTGTCGGAAAAGAAAAGAAGATCTTTCCCCAATGACAAGTAGTGGCACTCCTTTAGCTCGTATTTCCAAAGAGTGAAAACAGAAAATAAAACAGCACAATTTTTTCTAGCAATTAATTTCCAATAACTGATCCTTTGTTCGAGCTCAAACCACGTTTTAGGTGACACGATCTTGTTTCCATAACTATGCCTCACCCTATGCAGTAGAGTCGCTGATCTAGCTGATAAGGTCAAAGCCCTTACAATTTCCCAGATTTCGAGTTTCTCGATTCAATAATCAAATAAAAAAGTACAAATAACAGAAAAGTAAACCACTTACCCAATATGGATAAACATGTAGGTTATATATCGCCACACTTCGCTTTTGCGATATGGATTGAAGATCAGAGGAGATTTTGGTCGGCACAGGACCAGTTATACTTAAACCTTCATCGGATTCTACTGTATAGTAGATATAGATAGCAACCTGAAATCACACACTTCGGCCACGTATTCGTGAATTTAATGACAATGACAATTCACTTGCAGAGGTGGAGAACTTCTCCTAGTCAGTACCTATATCAGTTGAAATGATATTCATCCTACTATATATAATCCGCTAAGTTTGTCTGTTGGTGTGTGTCTGTGTGTGAATGTGTTTGTGTGTCTGTATATTGTTTTGACGCGGAACTGCTGTAAGCTCCCTTTGATTTCATCGCAAGAAGTTCAAACTTATGAGTGATGTAGGAAGGTCGGGCAGGATCACTATTGGTGAGCGGCAGGAAGTGATAAGAGCTGATAAGATACCATAGGGAGGGTCCTAGAAAGCGAGGGTCACCAATTCCATAACGCGCGTTACAGCAACGCTAGGACTTCGATTCCAAGAAGTAAGATAGGGGCAGGATGGGAACATTATTGATGGGTGGCAGGAATGATCAACAGCCATAATGTAGCCAGGAAAATTCACAGCAGAGTTGTAGCAACACTGGGAACTGCTCCAGCAAGTAATTCAGAGGTGCTTAGGGAACATTAAATGTGGGAGATAAATTTTGGCAGTGCCACAATGGGCACTGGGCCTCAGTTTAGCGCTCGGAATTGCTTCACCGCTAAACGCTGGAGGTCCCCGAAAACAGGACTGCTTCGGAAGTTGTTGCCAGTGAGGGACCTTGAGCCACGAAGCAAGTGATAGTACAAAATGCCCCCTCGTTCGATAAAACGCGCTTCTATGCTAATCAGTAACATAGGTTCAACCATGCGCGCAGAAATGCTCGTCAGCCAGACTGGTAATAAATAAATAAAATATTGAAGGTGTATGTCTCGAAGTTTTATGGATCAGCGCAATGTCAGAAATGTATGGGTTCCGGGTTCGCGTCCTTTCTGAGGTGATGCGCGCGGACACAAGGGGGATATCGCCCAGGGTGCCATTCCCAAAACCTTGCCAGCGCTACACCACGACCAACAATACGCCTAACCATGGACAAACGTGCTACTTGTCGGCTCCCTCCCACGACTAGTGGTTCTCTACCTCCGACTGTGTGTCGCTACGAGCTTTTGGTATCGACACATGCTTCGCCTAGAGAATAGCACGGGCTGAGCCAAAAGTGGCACCTGGGTATCACTTCCGTACAGCCTGAATTCGATGCACTCTCAAATGATGGTAGTGTTACACTCATACAGCTGCCACCCACACATGCCAGGGGCCATGCTCAGGGGAAGGTGCAGTTTGGGAGAACAGTGTACAGTTTGTCTTTGACTGAGACCGCCCCTTCTTCAGTCCCGTGAAGCCCATGTTCAGCGCTAGGACTGAACTTGGGTATTATGCCCTTTCTCTCTCATCGCCCTGGCCATCTGGTCTTCCGTGCTAGAGGCGCTCATGTTGGAATATGGATTGCATCTACTTATTTCCCCTTGTGTGCCACATCTAACAGATACATTCCTGTCTCTATGGACTGCCAAGCTCAAAAGTTAATACAATTCCGTGAAACTGGGTGGCCAAGCCAATGACGACTTTGGTGCAATTTCCGCTTCTTTTGTGCTTCTTAAAATCTCAAAACTTTCTCAAATACTATAGTTTATTGGAGGCCACCAATAATTGCTGTGTTGGAAAGGTAGGGAAAACGATAACTGACCTGTATAATACTTATGATGAGCATGAAAACGGGTGGAGGACAGCATTTGTACCTGAAACGCTCACATTTGAAGGAACTTTAAGTTTCCGCATTCCTATTGAATTCAACGAATACCACATTCTTTATGCCGGAAATGGGGAGGACATGGCTGTATATTGCCGTAGCTTGGTACACAGTTGCGGCGGGCTACGTTTTTTCATGAGCTATCCTCGGTCTGGGACCATAGTGATCATGTCTTTGTCTAGCACAAGAGAGGATGACAGGTTGCTCAAGTGGAAATATCCCATGAAAAACGCATTCTTAGCCATATTCAGATCAAGCAAACACGCCACAGCTCTTCATGCACTATCCGTCGCAATGCACTAAGGCGGCGCTCACTTTTTGCGGCAGCATCCACCAGCGTCTGCCAGCGTCCACTAACGACCACTAGCGTTCTAAGCGTCCCGCAGCGTCAGCGACTGGGAAAATGTAACATCGATCTAGCGTCTGCCAGCGTCCACCAGCGACCAGCAGTCCGCTACCGTCCTATCTCCCCATACTCTATCAACTGTCTGCTACCCTCCTATCGCCCTATACTCTCCACCTGGTGATCGCTGGTGCACGCTAGTAGACGCTGCTGCTCACTGGCAGACGCTGGTAGATGCTGCTGGTCGCTAGATCGATACCTATGCTTTGCTAGCCCTCAGACGCTGCTGATCGCTGGTATACGCTGATGGTCGCTAGTGGACGCTGGTGGACGCTGCTGCAAAGTAAGAGCACAGCCTTATTGAAACTGTAGAAGTGGAGTAATACTGCTGCTTCTCTCCAGAGGCGTTCAGGATATGCGCACGGTGTGCAATGGAATCAAAACATTTTATTGGAACCAAAACCTTTCTCCCCTTTCCAAGCAACGGCTCTTTCCAATTGCAGAATTGGTGATGGT